TTTCAGTAAATTTTCTATAGTTAATTTCGAATAATTTCCTAACAGTTCCTGACATTTCCCAAAATTTCCAAATATTTCCTATAATTTCTGAGAATTAGCATAGTTTGTGGCAATTTACAGGAGATTTCTGTAATTTCTCAACATTTCCGGAAATTATTTTGAGATTTGTACACCTATTTCCGACCGTAAGACACCCCTCTGTCATCACATTTTATTGAGAGTAATTTTTGTGTTCTATGAGAACAAGGATTTTTAAAATTCCTTCAATGAAAGGTCCTATTCATGTACCAAACTTTATATAAGACGTAAAATTTCACTTCACACAGTAGTGCATGAAGTATTATCAATGACAGATGTCGATACTGTCAATTGAGTTTTTTTCCAGTAATTCAGTTCACGCACTATAGTCTATTTCATTGCAGTCGATAGCACAAATCCAGGGTTAGAGCCGTATATAGTGATTGTGAGACCATTGTAACCCTAGTCCTAAATCTCGATTTGAACTATCAACTGCAGTGAAATAGACTATAGTGCGTAAAGTTAAAATACTTTACGCGCTAGTGCGTAAAGTAGGTATAAGCAATTGAAGTACTTTTCAAGTAATATTTATCAACAAATTGATATTATTTAAAATAAATCAGTGGCGTAGCCAGGATTTTGTCTTGGGGGGGGGGGGGGCAAATTTGCAGGAAGCGTCTTTTGCGGCCCTACCGCGACCGCTGCCGAAGGCAAAGCGCCGCAGTCGCGAAATTTTTGGGTGCCACGCCCTTTTTTCAGGTTTCTTTATGCTATTTTTGGGACTGCTTATCTTAATTTTGAAGAAATATTCATAAAATTTAAGGGTCTTGGGGGGGGGGGGGGGCAAATGAGTGAAATAAATTATGCAAGAAGTCTTGCTTCTTGCAAATTTCTTGCACAAGAAATCTTGTTCTTGCTCATTAGTTTCTTGTCTTGTATATTTCTTGCTAATCCACTTCTTGTCTTGTTCTTGCGTGCTTGTCTTGTTCTTGCATGCAAGAACAAGACAAGAACAAGAAAAAGCAAGACAAGAACAAGAAATATCTGCAACACTATTTATGAAGCACGGGCGGAATAAGAGAAATTTATTGAAACAGTTTTATATAAAATAAAACCTAAGGCACGACACAAATCAAATAGGAATCAAACTTATAGAAAATATCTACTGTACTGTCTTTCTAGACGAAACTGACTCCTGTTCGGTGCGGCAAGCGCTTCTGTGGTATTGCCGTGTTGCAGCCGTTGTGAGATGGGCTCGGACGGATAGTCCAGCGAGTTTAGCTTAGTCAGTCGCTTGAATTATTGTCTAGGAAATATAGGAATAATAACGACAGAAAAAAAGGACCGACATATTTTGCGTCAGTGCCACGGCTCAAACCACCAAGAGACTAAGTCAGTTGCTCGGTTATAATGTTCTCGAACAATTTGGGTATTGTATTCAAGATACTAACAGGTCTGTAGTTTTTTACTTCTGATCTGTGGCCAGACTTATGAATAGGAACTATAAAACTGGTTTTCCAACAGAATGGTAAGTAGCCGGTATTCAGTGAGACATTGAAAATTAGAAATAGGGGTCTAGCAAGAACAAAACTACAATTTTTAAGTAACCCTGCGTTTTTATTCTCATTAAATTTTACCGATGGATCCACCATTCTATGGCCGTCATTGTCATTTTCAATTCACTAAACAAAGATAGCTAACTCATCGGTGAATTCACCGATGAGAATAAAAACGAGGGGTAAACTAGGGGGTATTCCATCCGGCCCAGGACCCTTATCGCAATCCAATGTGGTCAACTTGGTATAAACCTCCGAGATTTTAAGATCAACCTTTGATATATTAATATTATTAGTTGAGCATTGACTAGGAAAATCACAGTTATTATCACAGTACGTGGATGCAAAAAAATCAGCGAAGAGATTGGCTATATCAGCGCCACTATCACACTTAATTCCATTATGAAACATCTCATTACGTCTTACGTCTAGCATTAATAAATCTCCAAAATGTCCTGTGGTCATGAGTAATATTATTCTCTGTTTCGCGAATATAAGTTTCATAGCATTCTCCAGAAAGTTGTTTACATAAGGCTCTTAACCTGGAAAATTCTAGGTAGTCTAAGTGACTGCCGTATCTTTTGTACTTAACATGAGCTTTTTTTTACTTATAATTAAGTTTTTCAATTCTGAAGAATACCATATAGGAAAATTACGCGACCATACTTTTTTTAAAGGAACAAATAAATTAATTGCTTGATATAAATAATCATAAAAATCGTTGACAATTAAATCTAAAGATCTGTCCTTGAATAAATTATCCCAGTCAATGTGAGAAAAAAACTCGTTAATGGAAAGGTAGTCAGCCCGATTGAAATCCCTATAGAATTCTTCACCATGCAAACCTGGATTGTTAGAATGGGTCGAAAACACAATTGATACTTCAAGTGGTGGGTGATATGCATCAGGTTGTAGAAGTGGTTCTTCGGCCAAAGCTGTAGACACCTCCAGGTGCTGAGATAGCACCAAATCCAGAAGTCCGCCATGCACATTGTGGATATCGTTCTTTTGATAAAGGTTATGGAATGCACACATGCCCGAAACCAATTCAATCGCCTCAGCCTGCAGCCCCGGGGTATTTAAGCCAGGAACCGCCGTAGACGCAAGGTCGTCAGTCACCCAGTAAGCAACCGGAAGATTAAAATCACCCAAGATTGAAACACTCACTCCCGGCTCGACGGTGGCAATGTTGACCATGGTTTCAGCTAGCCGTTGAAAAACAGCAACTGGCGATCTAGGAGGTGCATAGAGACTACCAATTATGCATTTTCGCCCACCGGTGCCCACCATAACAAACAGCTGTTCAATTTCTGGAGAAACCATTATTTGGGAACTTTTATTATTGTTGTGGACAGCGATCAAGACACCTCCCCCTCTCCTGTGGACACTAGTGGCCTCGGATCTGTCTTTTCGAAACAAAGATACTTTGTTTCGACCAAGACCAAGCTCAGCATCCAAAAAATCCTCAGATAGCCAAGTTTCAGTTAAGACTAGAACATCGTAGTCCGAACTCAATACGGCATGTTGAAGAGATCTAAGTTTAGTACGCAGACCTCGGACATTCTGATAATATATTATAAAATTTTTGGGTGATGTATCTAGTTTTTTTTTTGGTAGGTAATAATGGAAGGAGTACCTTGGACATATTTTAGGATAAGGTCAGTCTCACCTGCTTCTCTACGTCTTATAAGTTCTTTCCTCACTTCCTTCTCAATTTCCCTTTGCCTAGGTGTCAAATCAGCACTGATATAGATCTTACGACCCTTCAATTTAGACCTGCCACCCAAAACACGGTGAACATCCTTGGAGTGCGGCAGAGTTACCTTTATTGACCTCGTGCCATTTCTGTTCTTCCTCCCCAATCGAACAGCACTAACAACTTTGACCTGATCTCCCCCAAGTTCCGAAACCAACTGCTGCAACTGTGTTGCTAAATACCAGAAATGCATCTAAATTTTCAAGGTTTGGAACTGGGCGGGCTGGAATCAACAATTCTTCTCTTATCAACTCTGGCCTGCCATACTTTTTCTGTAAAATATCTAGAATTTCTGTTGGAGACTATGGGCTGTTATTAGAAGTAATTCGACTGTTTTTTTAGCTGTTCCAGTCAAACTGTTATTTAGACGCAAAACATTTTCAGCAGGTGAATACTTACAGGCTTCATCGGATAATTTGTACTGAGAGTAGAATATTGGCCATTTTAGGTACGAGGATCCATCAAAATTTTGAAGTTGCATGCCAATTGTTTGCCGAAGAAGCATATTATTTATGGAGTATGTTAATTTTTCAATTTTTTTGTCAGTATTGGTGTCATAATTAACTCTTGCCGAATGAATTTGATTTATTGCATATTCTGGAGATACTTCATTTGCTCATCCTTGAACCCTTAATTGAACTCTAGTTCTGTCAAATTCCTCATTTTGGTTATATTCGTCTTCTGAACTAACGCTTTTTGGGAATGTTGACTTTTTATTGGCTTCTAAGGCACCTTCATACACACATCAAAATAGTCTAGGGAACAAGATGCAACTGAATACATTTATAAATTGAACAAAATATACTTTTAAAAGATTCTTAAATTTTGTTAAAGCCTGCGGGAAAAACCGATATGATAAATTTGACAAGATTTGTTCAACAAATACCCATATGGTATCTTTTAAAAAAAAGTTATTCTGTCTCAAAATTAAAAGACGAATATTTCTTGTTCCCTAGACTTTTTTGATGAGTGTATTTGGTCAATAAATCTTCTTTTCTCCTCACTCTTTTTTTTATTCATTTTCCTTGATTTGAATTTCTTGTTCAGATGTATCATTTAGTCTCATTTGTTCACTCTCTAAAATTACAATTTCTTCTTCTCTAGAAAATACTGTTTCCTGAAGACTTTCGATTTCGTTTTGAATTTGCAATAATTTCTCAGATTCAACTGTGACATCGGATCTTGTTTTATTTGATTTTGGAAGAGATTTAAAAGTATTTGATGATCTCGTGGAAGATGCGTTTTGTGAATTTCGATTTTTTTTCCAAGATTCCAGGAAAAAAATTATTAATTTTTATGTGAGCGTTATAGTGGTTATTGATTCCGAACATTTCAAATTAGATATGTTGCATAGATCTTGTAAATCGAAGAGGCTTAATGATTTACTGATCAAATCAATTTTGTTCTTTGTTAAAGAGAATGGTATATTAAAAAACAGATTAACAATGAATAGGTAAAATTAATAAATTAATTAATATTTGATATTTTCTCTTCATTTTCTTAACACTCAAGTTCCAAGCATCTTGATTCAGGGTGACACATTTATAGCTTACCAAACCTCTGTTCTCTGGAAAGAGCTAATTATATAGTCTTTAATCATTATCTTGATGGCGTCGACTGGAATTTTCGTCACACTGAAGCTTCTAAGGGGTTCAAATAAAATACATAACACGAACTGGTTTACAACTGATTTTATTGTAACAATTTTGGTTACTTTATTTTCCAAAGTTTGAATATAAAACATAAAAAATACTCCCGTCGAATCAGAATACTTACAGACAATTAATTTTCAAGTCCGAAATAACTGGAAATCAATAAATACTTACGATAGCCCATAAATAATACAATAAAAGCATAAGGGTTAAATTAAATACAAATAGAAAGCTATTAGTTTGAATGAACTTACAACCAATTATAGAAGAATAAAATAAATAAAGTTACAGGAATAAAATTTCAGATGTCTCATCAAAGTTAATTACTACCAAAACCCAAAAAGAAAGTATCAAACGGACACCCAATAAAATTTCTCTTTGTACCGAATTTATTGTATTATTTGTTTGATATGGCACTATTTTGTAACAATAAATAAAGAAAAAACCTAAATAGTTAAAGAATAAACCCAAAGAAGTTAACCTACAAAAACAGATCAAGTATTTTTTGATACCAATCAAATATCAAAAATAAATCCTGTGTCCACTACTAGAATATTGGTTTTATTTATTTTTTATAAGTTTGCAGCCTGAGATTTTTAAAAAGAATTAGTATCACAGCAAAGAATTTATTGTAACTTTAGTCTGATCAAACTTATAAAATAAATATGTATAATCTTTAGGACATTTTTTAGAAAATGATGATAGGTAATTTTTCTATCCGAGTAGGAAGGTTCTTGAAATTGAAAATTTCTTAATCACATAATGTTAATGCGGATATTATGTTTACTAAGTTAAATTCTACACTAGTAAGCTATGATCATCAAAATATCGACCATCAATAAGTGAGTGTCAATATTATAAAATGCTACCTTAAGAGTAAAACATTAATAATTAGCTTATTTAAGGGTTTTGGGAAAATAAATAAATAAAAAAAATCGTTCGTTTCGTTTAGAAGCCGTTTTAGGTGAAACTTTTCTAAAAAATCTAAATTTACAATGCGTTATTTTTCAAAAGAAAACAAGACACTTTGGTAAGAAGAGAAGTTGCACTAAACACTTTGAACGTATTTAAACAAACATTGAGGTAATTCAAACACAGCCATACAAAAAATTTAAATTAGGTAGGTCCAAAGAAAATAACGCATTGAAATGTCTGAAAGGTTTTTCTTTCTGTAATGGAGACTCAATCAAGCACAATGGTCATATTTTCTTCAAACTTATTGACTTTTTCAACAAAAAAAATTGTTGCTCTCTTTTTCAATACATATATTATGTCAACAAGCCCTAACTTGACTTAGATTGTAATGCATAGAAGTTAGGATGTTTAGGAAAGAGGATTGATAAAAATCAATGAAAACCCATTAAATTAATTCAAGAGTTTTGTGAATTTACTACTAAAAAAAATATTAGAAATATGCGCGACTTTGCACTAAACCTCCATAAGTAAAAAGAATGGTCTTTGAATTTTCAGATTTAACGACTTAAAGGCACAAATACTCTCGCTTATAGTTATAATACGCTTAATCAACATTTTTTTTTTGTATTTTTATCTTTTTTTTTTATCTAATAAATAAGGTTACTGGCTATTCATATGAGTAACTATTCCTAATTAATTCAGATTCAATTTTATTACAAAATGCCCCACACTAATACTTTATGTATAATAACACATACAGACGCAAATTAGGCTGGATTTATAACCACTAGTTTACTGTTAGTGAGTTCAACCATGGCTTGCTTGCCAATTTTCAGCCTAAATTTTACTATTGGGACCATCATAGATTAAATTTTGAATGATACCTGTTTGATATGAACTATGAACCGTATTACTGAAAATTATGTAACTAAACCCTCAACTTTTCGCCCAAAAGAAACTTAGTATGTAGTATTATGAAAGTCTGACATAGTGAGCTTTTGAAAATTGAAAATAATGATTAATTTTGATATATACCAATGACATATACCCACTGATCTCAAAAATAAATGAATAAACAATCGTACGGCTTGACTGGCTAAACTTGTGCGAAAATTTGGGGTCAATATTCTACGAACAGTTGTGCAACGGAACAGACTAACGCCTGCGCAATGTCTTATCTTTCGAACAACTGTTCTAAATTTTGAAATATCCTTCATTTTCATTGACAATATTTTGCGCACCCACTGTACAGGGTGGTCATTTTATCTTGATTACATTTTAAACTGTCATAATTTCTGTACATGTATCTACTGCGCACACTCACAGCTGTCCCAGTTGTTTACATTAGCACTTCGTAAATTAGCAGCATTCGAAGCATTCTTTGTTTATCCATTTATTTTTGAGAACAGTGCATATACCTGCCTATAGGTTGAATTTTTATTCGTTAGGTTTTCAACATCAATTATTACTATTAAATCAACCCCAACTGACAAAATTGACTTGAAGGGAAAACTTGACTTTATAGATTCTTGCCCATTGATGAGAATCCAATTGATCTATGTACATGTGTGGGGCTCAACGAGATTATTCTTGAAATCTCCAAAAAATATCATAGAATAAATACAGTGCAAAACAGAAACAGATGCTGTGCCACAAGAAATTTTGGGAACAATGCTCTCTTCCAATAAATCAAAATTGAAAAAAGCCTACTATTGCTTACTAAGTTAGAAAAATAGAAAATTTTCACTGCCTGAGGTCCGATTTTTCGATTTAAATAGCATTATTCCCAAATCTAAATGGCAGTATTAGTTCAAGATAATATTTTTATATCTAAATGCCTTGCTAAAAACTAGCCAATTTGCCAAATAATGTACTACCTTCTCAAATTAATATCTTTCGTTTGACAAAAAGTTAACATTCTAAGAATATTTCCATCATTTCAAATACTAAAAAAAATTGATATCCTGCATTTAAAATCCTTTTATTGAATATATCGGGTCTACAAAAAAAAAACAATCTAAGATTGTTATGGTTTTTTAAACGTATGTCTTAGCAATATTTTTATTTAATTTTGTCAATTAACTTTAATGTCAAAATGACTTGTCAAAAATACTGTCCAATAAATAAACAGTAATGCGACGTACGTTTTCGTAACCAAAGCAATCTTCGATTGGTTTTTTTTTTGAAGACCCGATATTTTGCTATCACAGATTTGGCTAATTTTTAGACTGATTGTTGAGGCCAAATAATTAATAAAACAAATTATTAGAGAGCAATATTACATCACTAACTTATACTAGACAGACATAACGAAATAAAAGCTGCACATTTTCGAACACGTTCTTTGTGGATGGAGAATATATCTCAGTTTAAAATATTGTGTTAGATCGAAAAACACTATAATCCTTACGTAGGACGTCAACTTAGCAGAAGGCGCCCCTGAAGAAGCATTCGGCTACCTTGCAAGAGGTAGCATCGAAACCCAATATGTCCAGCACGTTTGTGGGCAAGTCAACCCAGAGAGGTAAGTACTTCTTCACTGGTGCAAAAGTTACAAATCTAATAAAAAAAATGTTTTGAAATAATCGGTTCAGTTGTTGATTAAATAAATACAGGAAGATGCCTTATGTCTGTAGAAATAAATGTGACTGGGCACACATATTTCCATCCTACACTTATTAAAGCAGGCTCTGTTGGAATGATAATGCGATTGGCTGTTGCTGATAGCCAGAAATATATGGTATCTTAAGTTAAGTGAAGATTGGTGGGAAGTGCAAATGTCTAAAGCTTGAGTGATGTAGGCTCATGTTAGTATGGAGAAACTTGTTTCGAAGTATAAATTATGAATACATCATTTTCTGATGATAGATCACTCATACATAATGGAATTTTCTCTGGATAAAACTTGCCTTATTTTTTGTTTAGTGTATTTTGTGGCAGAAACCTTCTCTCCTGAGAATAAATTTGTTGAACTTTTTATGCGTTGTCCTGTACTTATATTCAATCGAGGATTCAACATTAACCATCACAAAACAATACAGGGTGTCCCAAAAAGATACCGACAAACTTTAAGGGGTAGTAAGGGACATCAAAACAAGCATTTTTGTTTATATAAACATGGATCCGCAAATGAGCCGTTTGGGCTGTAGAGCAAAAAAACTATTTAAATCATACCCAAATAATTAAAGACATTTTTCACTCGGTTTTTTATTTAGTTGGCCACCAGCATGATTTGCTAAACATTTGTGGTCGCACTTTTGCGAGCACTTTTGTTTAATTTTAAGGTTTAAAGTCAGGCCTATAGTTTATTACAGCAACGCGAGATGTCAATGCTGTCGCCCCTATAGTAAAGTGCCTCTATACAAGACAGTGGCGACAATAGAGGGACCAATTTTTGATTGGTCGTGTATTTGCCGCCATCTTGTTGCAAAAACGTTCTTGTTTACATTCGTTCTCATAAGAATATTGCGGTTATTTTGTGATTTTCTAATTTACCTAATAACTGGATTCTGATGGTATTGCTTATATTATAGTAACTTTTATATACCTATTGAACATTAATCTGTGCGATATTTCCAGTTGGTGTCTCGATTTTGTTCAGATTTGAAAAAAAAATTGTGTTGGGGTGAGTACCATCGTCACCAAAAGTAACTGGGACAGCATCATATTAGCTCTTGTCCTATTATATGAATTTTATTGTCAAATATTTGTCAAACTATGATTTAAATGCATTGAAATGACTGACAGTAGAATTAGTCCAGGAGATTATTATGCATTATTTGTCTCCCAGATACTTTTGGTGACGATGGTACCTACCTAATATTATTAATATTATTTTTAAATTTTCAAACGAATTTCCAAATATGAAATGAAACGATAGTTTAAAATCTGTGAGAATCCTTTATTTTATGTGTACTGGAGTCTATAACTAAAGGTATTTTAAGGATTTTCAATTTTGTAATTTTAGGTTAGGTCGGTTGGATATAAAAACAATGCCAGGTTGTGCTGCCGTACATTGCAACAATTCTGCAAAAAAGGGATTCTTAATGAAACGCTTTCCACGGGATCCGGAAAGAAGGAAACAATGGCTTGTAAACACGAAAAGGGGGAATTGGACTCCTACGGATTACTCATTTTTATGTGAGGTACCTACCTAAATTATTTATACTTTCAAGGTACATATTTTTATTTTAATGACAAAAATATTGCTTAAATATGTTGGGTACATATGTTGGAGTTAGTTATCTCAATCTCAATTGATAGGTATGTAATTTTAAATTCCTATATGATGTTCTAGATTCATTTCGATCCGGAAATGTGGGAGAAAACTCGAGAGGATGGCTCTCGGAAGCTGAAGGTCAATGCAGTACCTACTCTATTTTCTTTCTCACTGCCAAAAAATCCAAGAAAGCCTCCAGCTAGTCCAGCTGTAAAAAAGCTTTTATTACCAAGAAAAGTTAAATCTTCACCTGGTAAGAGATTTTATTTAGTTTATAAATGCTAGGGAAATGTCTCAAAGTCTCCGTCTCCATTAAAAAAATTACCCACAAGAATTTTTGTTTAAGTTTCATTGATCATGATGAAATAGATATCTTATATTATTAATTTATTTATTTATTCATTTCAATTTCAAACTTTATTTCATATTTTCATAAAAATAGGGGAGGGTGGGTAGAAATTGAAAATAACTGAAAAAATCGATTAATATGCCTTTTAGAGATTTTTGTGAATGCATGTTTTACTGCCACAATCTATTTATCATACTTATGTGAAAAAATAAGCTTGGAGTAGAGAGGAGTATAATATACTACCTTTATTGTAATGGTAGGTCCTTTATTTCAATAGAAATATTTTCAGTTTTACCTCCAGTCCTCCAGCTCTACATAGATGAAGGGGTGGGTTTCAAATTTAAAATGTTATGTTTTTGTTGTTTTCTATCAATTCTTTTGGTCAAGATCCCAAATTTACTATTAGTTATTTCGTTATTTGATATCACACCATTTTACGAAGTTAATTATTACTTTAAAAAAGATGAACAGAAAGAGTGATGTGGAAGTACTGGTTCAATTTTTAGCGGTTATTTTAGAAGGCAAGCTTTTTCTATGATTTACCTACTTTTTTAAACTTTCACTTTTCAATGGCCTTGCTTATTTTGTGAAAATGCAATAGTAAATTTTCTGATTCCATTCAGTTATTGTCATCTGTATACTAAACAGGGTGAGTTACTAAGCGCACTGTGGTCATATCTCCCATACTAACGGAGATCAAAGAAAAAACTCATGGTGACAAAGTTATGTTTTTTATAAATTTTTATAAAATGTTTTTTATAAAAAATTTTAGACATATTTCATGTTCGAAATGTCATCACCTATCTTCAACTGTTTCGGAAATATTGTTAGTTGAAAATTGTCTTTTTCTACAAACGTCACTAAAAGTGTCATTTTTAAAGGATGCTGTCAGTGTCTAAAATGCCATTTTATGAAACTGGTGTTAAAAGTGATTACTTTTAGCACTAGTGCTAAAAGTAATCACTTTTAGCACTGATCAGAAAATATAAAAACATAGGAAATTGATAATCAAAATAAAATATTTATTTAATTAAACGTACAATTAGCGAAACTGCAATTAGAATAAGAAACTCCATGGCCAATCTCGTTGGTAGCAGTTACTAAATTTATTTTGGTAAAACTTGTACCAGGAGGGCAAAGAGCAATGTTATTCTCCGAAGTTTTGGGCAGAATTTGATCCGCAATGTTCTTTTTATTTTGTAGCGAGTCTTCTATATACCCCTCCGCTACTGTACTAGACTTCCATCCACCGTGTCTCTTGATTATAGTAAGATTAGCACCAGAGTCCGCCAACAAACTCGCTGAGGAACGTCGGAAACAATGTCCAGTATAAAGATGGGGATCAGGCAAATTCAGAAATTTAGCGATTTCGGCAGGGATCTTACCAAATGTGTTGATTCCAACTGGAGTCTTGGCACATTTATTATTGCTGTATTTTATAAAAAATCTTGAGTGATTGATATCCGCTGGTCGAAGGGATAGGTACTTCTTATAGTAGTTTATATACAATGTACCACTAATAACGTAATTTCGTTGCACATTAGTTTTAGTGTCTGGTATATGCACAACTAATGAGGTTCCCAAATCTTCAATGTTATCTAATGTCAAATTGCAAAGTTCTTCTCGACGGCAAGCTCCAAATACACCGAAAATTGCGGCAACTTTTCGCATAAGATGTATTTCATCCGGGGCTTCTGCGAGAAATTTATCGATTTGTTCACTCCGCAATACTTTTGACTTTTTCGGTCGATATCCTTCACCCTTTCGCTTTAAAAAAGCTACAAGCTTGTAAAATCTGCTTATGTCCTGATTATTTATGTTCATCATCGCCTTTATCATTGAGTAATTTGACCAAAGCGTAGAAGATTTCCATATTTTTGATTTTTCTTCAAAGTAAGCAAGGAGCACTTTTTCACTGGCCTCCTTGCCACTTACTTTTTTTTCATCACACCATTTCAAGAAACGATCGTATGAAAACTCGTACTGTTGCTTTGACTTGCTAGGCAATAATTCAAAAGTAGCTTTATTGGCCGCTTCTTCAATTTCCGCCGGGAGAAATTCATTGTCTTGATCACTTTCCATCGCCCAGAAAATAAACCACAATGAAACTGGATGAAACCACGCAAAAACCAAAAATTGTATAAAAACCTTAAGCAAAAATTCGTGATTATTTGACGTTACTAATCAACAATGACAAACAGAGATGACAAATAAAAATAAACAAATTCGTTTTTTTTTCTTGCCAGCAACCTATTTCATAAATAAATTAGATGAAAGATTTGAAATTGAGGATTGCAAGGATGCGTTAATTGGACTTTTAAAGAGTGTTTGTAGAAAAAATAGTGTATGATATTCGTGCTAAAAGTGATTTTATTTTGTTCAAAGGGATGGAACACTCCGCCTTCGGCGTCGTGTCCCAAACTTCCCTTTTCACAAAATAAAATGTCACTTTTAGCACTTATATCATAAATAACTATTTTTGCATATATGACATACTGTAAAACCTGAACGGTTAATTTTACAGCAAAACTGATCATACATTCTTGTCTTAGATTTTCATAAACTATATTTTTTTAACACCAATTTGGAATTTAATCCGTGATTAAGAATTCCTCTTAAATTATTGTTCTGCAGTTAAATTCAAAGTTGGTGTCAAATGATAGCTTATGAAAATCTAGGATAAGAATGTAGAATCGGTGTTGCTGTAAAATTAACCATTTAGGTTTTACAGTCTGTCAAAGATGCAAAAAAGTCGATTTCAAACTGTCAATATTTTCGAAACAGTTAAAGATAGCAATAAAAAAAATGTAAAATCTGTTTTTTTTTTAAAGATAATTCTAATATATATAAAGTTTGTTTCGCCAGGGTTTGTACTTGCCACCAGCATTTGCCTTCCTTGTTTGACAAATAAAAATTGACTGAAACAGATCAATGACGTCAAAAACGTTCGTCGGTTCTTAAACTAGAAGTCATTCATTTCAATTTGTCAAAAAAATTGAATGCGTCATACGAATTAATCTACGACAACCCTTTTTTTTCAAGTTTCAAGGTCAAGTATGAACCCTGGTGAAACGAACCTTATATATAATAAGTCAAAAATTTAGTAACTATGTTGGCAGCACAAGCCTTTTCTACATACAAATTTGGAAGCATTGACAATTTTACATTGTATTGTCAACATAATGTCATTTTGACTTTTATATTTAAAAAAAAACAGACTTTATGACATTGTATATGAAATATGTCTAGAATTTTCCACAGAATCCAGAAATGTCATAATATACAGGGGAAGTCATTTAAAAAAACATAATTTTGTATCACCACTACTTATTGGGCCACCCTGTATACTGGAAAATAATTCAGAAATGTAGTACTCTTGTTTCTCTACAAGTTTTGTATTTAGTTTTTTCCTCGATCTCCGATATTATAGGAGATATGGACCACCGCGTGCTCAGTAACTCACCCTGTATAGTAGAGTAAAAATCAAACGAGAAGAAGCCACTGTCATCAGCGCCGACAAAGAAAGCAGATTTCCTTTTCTCTGTATCCCTACCATTTAAAGTGAAACAAACGATAACCCGTGTGGCTTCTTCTCCTTTGATTTCTACTCTATTTGGGGGCCACTATTATTATGGTTATTTTTATTTAGGTAAAGCCATGGCGGCAGTAGAAAGAATGATAGTTGCTGACATTGAAGTAAATTTTGGTGGCGATCATAATACGACAGATTCAGTCCTGCCTATCAGCCAACCGTCCAGTTCGCAGAATAATCAACAACAAGCAAAATCAACTAATGATCCTCTTGTCACTGCTAACATTGAAGTAAATTTTGGTGGCGATCATAATACGTCAGATTCAGTCCTCCCTATCATTCAACCGTCTACTTCGCAGAATAATCAACAACAAGCAACATCAATTAATGATCCTGTTGTCATTAAATCATTGAGCTCACAGTCCACTACTTCGAGTGAGGAAAATGGATTTAACCAAAGAATATTATAGACTAACGTCTCTAGAAGAGCCGTCCGGCGGCGAAAATATAAACCCGCGTGATGGCGCTGGTGTCCTAGTAAAATCAGTCGTTTCTGCGATTAAATTAATTTGAAGCACTAAATGCACGCGTATTTGCTAGGCTGCGTTGCCAAGATGTCTTTTGTATAACAAATTAAATGCCTGTGTTTTATATAGGTACTTTTTATACATATACCTACCATAGAATAAGAATATTATTATAATTAAAAACAAAATAATAAATAGGTAAATAGTTATGTACTTTCGTGGGTAGTAATTTTCTATTACTAATAAATAGAGGTGTAAAACATAAAAATTGTTTCTGTCTGTGTGTCTACCTATGTCCGTTATAGACTTTGAAACTATCCGACCGATGTACTTCAAACCAGTTTAATGTTTAATATGAAAAGCAATAATGATAAGATTTGGAATATTCAACAGCTGTCAAATGTAATTTTTGACAGCTGTCAAAATATGACGGGTCGAGAGGTGGGCAGGTTGTCAGGACTACCGTTTCATCTAATTTTAGACAATTTTGCACACTCTTCTGAGAAAAGTTATGAGGTGTGATAAATGTGCACTTTTTTCCCCGTTTATCTGAAACTTGAAAAATTCTTTTCCTACGAGCGTGCGCAAAGAAGTACTTTTTCGCACGCATTTCCGTTCTCAAAGTTACACTTTTCCGCAATCAGTGCGGATAAGGCCTGTATCCGCACTGAGTGCGGAAAAGTAAAAATAATTGTAAAGCAACAATAAGTGCACCTGTCGACTTTGACACATGATGACAAATTTTTCCTCTGTTTCTATATCAGCCAACATAGGCCAGTAAAACTAGGGGTCCAACCCGAAACAAATTTGGGACAAGCTGAAATTTTCAGGAAACCTTTTTTAGGTGGTCGACAATGTTTCCTTAAAAATCGCACTAAATCGCATGTGCCGTACTCGCCCAATCGGGCTTTAAACTCAAAAAAATGTGCTTTTTTTATTTCTTTGGAAATATATCAAAAACTATGAACTTTTTTGAAAAATTACAAGACAGCAAAATTGTTGCCAATAAAAATACCTACAAAATCATTTTTTGTTTTTGAAAATCGGTCCAAAAACAAGAAAGTTATGAGCTTATAAAAATTGGGTGAATTGGGCTTCGATTCTATTAAACTGCTTTTGGCAAATTCGACTTTATTAACGCTGACGCCAATTAATTGAATGTTTTTCATAAAGGAAATATGGTATGTATTTGTCATATAAAACCAGTGTGTAAAATTGTATATAAATCACTAGGTATGATTTAATATTTTAGGTAATGGGCTGAACGCAAAAATAACTAAATATGTAATACTTTTGCCAAAATGTGCTGCTACTTACTTGAAAAAAAAAAAAAAATTTTAACTTTGGACCTGTCAAAAAATGACGTTTGAAAAAAAAATTTTTTTTTTAAAGTTTGAACCTGTCAAAAAATGACATTTAAAAAAAAAATTCATATCATTGTACCTGTCAAAAAAAGACATTTGAAAAAAAAAAAAAAAAATCATATTATTGGACCTATCAAAAAAAAAGGACACACTTGAAAAAAAAAAAAAAAAAAAATTATAGGTGTCATTGGATCTGTCAAAAAAAAAAATACATTTGAAAAAAATATTTTTTTTTATAAGATTGGACCTGTCAAAAATTGACATTTAAAAAAAAATCATATTGGACCTGTCAAAAAAAAATGACACTTAGAAAAGAAAAAAAAAATTCATTTGAATTTTTTTATTTTTTTTATATGTCAAAAAATGACGTTTGAAAAAAAATTTTTTTTTTTAAGTTTGAACCTGTCAAAAAATGACATTTAAAAAAAAAAAATTCATATCATTGTACCTGTCAAAAAAAAAGACATTTGAAAAAAAAAAAAAAAAACATATTATTGGACCTATCAAAAAAAAAGGACACACTTGAAAAAAAAAAAAAAAAAATTTATAGGTGTCATTGGATCTGTCAAAAAAAAAAATGCATTTGAAAAAAAAATTTTTTTTTATAAGATTGGACCTGTCAAAAAATGACGTTTAAAAAAAAAAATTTTTTTTTCATAAATTTGGACTGGTCAAAAAATGACATTTGAAAAAAAAAAAAAAATCAGATTATGTATTGGACCTGTGAAAAAAAAATGACACTTGAAAAAAAAAAAAAAAATTTATAGGTGTCATTAAACCTGTAATTTGGATTTTTTTTTTTTTTTTATAGGATTGGACCTGTCAAAAAATGACGTTTAAAAAAAAAAAAAATTTTTTATAACTTTGGACCTGTGAAAAAAATGACGTTTGAAAAAAAAAAAAACTTTTTCATATTATTGGACCTGTAAAAAAAAAATGATACTTGAAAAACAAATAAAAAAATAATTTATAGGTGTCATCGGACCTGTAATTTGAAAAATGTTTTTTTTTATAGGATTGGACCTGTCAAAAAATGACGTTTGAAAAAAAAAAATCATATTGGACCTGTCAAAAAAAAATGACACTTAGAAAAGAAAAAAAAAAATTCATTAAAAATTCATTTGAATTTTTTTATTTTTTTTATAGGATTGGACCTGTCAAAAATGACGTTTGAAAAAAAATATTTTTTTTTAAGTTTGAACCTGTCAAAAAATGACATTTAAAAAAAAATTCATATCATTGTACCTGTCAAAAAAAAAAGACATTTGAAAAAAAAAAAAAAAAAATTCATATTATTGGACCTATCAAAAAAAAAAGGACACACTTGAAAAAAAAAAAAATAATAATTTATAGGTGTCATTGGATCTGTCAAAAAAAAAAAAAAATACATTTGAAAAAAATATTTTTTTTTATAAGATTGGACCTGTCAAAAAATGACGTTAAAAAAAAAAATATTTTTTTTTTCATAAGTTTGGACCAGTCAAAAAATGACATTTGAAAAAAAAAAAATTCATATTATGTATTGGACCTGTCAAAAAAAAATGACACTTGAAAAAAAAAACAAAATAATTTATAGGTGTCATTAAACCCATAATTTGGATTTTTTTTTTTTTATAGGATTGGACCTGTCAAAAAATGACGTTTGAAAAAAAAAAAAAAATCATATTGGACCTGTCAAAAAAAAAATGACACTTAGAAAAGAAAAAAAAAATTCATTTGAATTTTTTTATTTTTTTTATAGGATTGGACCTGTCAAAAAATGACGTTTGAAAAAAAAAATAAATTTTTTTTTAACTTTGGACCTGTGAAAAAAATGACGTTTGAAAAAAAAAAAACTTTTTCATATTATTGAACCTGTCAAAAAAAATGATACTTGAAAAAAAAATAAAAAAATAATTTATAGGTGTCATCGGACCTGTAATTTGAAAAATGTTTTTTTTTTATAGGATTGGACCTGTCAAAAAATGACGTTTGAAAAAAAAAAAAATCATATTGGACCTGTCAAAAAAAAAATTAATTTGAATTTTTTTATTTTTTTTATAGGATTGGACCTGTCAAAAAATGACGTTTGAAAAAAAAAAAAATCTATAAATTTGGACCTGTCAAAAAATGACATTTGAAAAAAAAAAAATTTTTTTTGTTCATACTGTATTATAAAAAAATGACACACTTGAAAAAAAAACAAAAAAAATATAGGTGTCTTTGGAGCTGTCAAAAAAAAATAATACATTTGAAAATTTTTTTTTTTTTTATAGTATTGGACCTGTCAAAAAATGACGTTTAAAAAAAAATATTTTTTTTTTATAAGTTTGGACCTGTCAAAAAATTACGTTTAAAAAAACATTTTTTTTTTTTATGTTTCGACCTGTCAAAAACTGACATTTGAAAAAAAAAATTTTTTTTCATATTATAGGACCTGCCAAAAAATGAGGTTTGAAAAAAAAAAAATCATATTATTGAACCTGTCAAAAAAAAATAGTTTTCGAAATTTTTTAATTCCTGTCATTTCTCAGATAATTCTTGTTATTTTCTAATTCCCCCTTATTTTTTTCAATTTTTGGAAAATTTGGTAATTTTCGTTATTCCCGCAATTTTTCGCGCTTTTTCCAGTAATTATTTATATTTTCAATTTTTTAATTTTCAATTTTCCTAATTTCCAAAAAAAATCGGAATTTTCTAATTCTCTCTAAGTTATTGTAATTTTCGTAATTTCAAAAACTTGTGATTTCCGTTATTTTGGGAATTACCATAGTTCACGTAATTTTGAAATGACTTTGTAATTCTGTTCCGCAATATTTCGTAATACCTACATACATACCCGTAATTTTTGTAATTTTCGTAGTTTTTTGTGTTTTTTTCAATTCCCGTAATTTTCATAATTTCTCATAATTCCCGCAAATTTTCGTCATTTCCGTCATTTTACTAGGTTCCGTAAGTTTTTATAATTCCCATTAAGTATTTTTCGTAATTTTGGATAATTTTGGAGTAACTTCGTAATTCTTTTGCGTAATATTTGGCAATTCCCATAATTTTTGTAATTTCCGCAATTTTTTGTTATTCCGTGATTCTCGTAATGTTCTGTAATTCTCGTAAATGTTTGCAATTCTCTCTAATTTTTCATATTTTACGTACTTTAACGTAATTCCCGTAATTTTTCGTAACTTTTCAAAAATTATCATTATTTTCGTAATTTTGAAATGAGGAAAAATGAGGATAAAATCGCGGAAAGTGATGATAAAATTGCAAAAAAAAGAGTCAAAAATCACAAGAAAAATATGAGTCAAAAATTTCAAAAAGAGTGAATTTAAGCTCGCGGAAACAGAAGATGAGACTCACGTAAAAATAAGGATAAAGTCACGAAAAGTGAGGATAAAATCGCGGAGAATGAAATAGGAATCGCGGAAAAGTGAGGATAACATCGCAAAAAAAAGTGAGACAAGAATTGCGGAAAAAGGAGATTATATTTACAGAAAAATGGGCTTACAATCGTGAAAAAGTGGATTTAGAATTGCGGTAAGTGATGGTAAAATTGTAAAAAAATGAGTCAAAAATAAAAAAAAAAAAAAAAAAAAATCACAAAAAAAGTGAGGTCAAATTAGCGGAAAAGTGGAGATAAAATCGCGGAGAGTAGGGAAACAATCGCAGAAAAATGAGGTAAGAATCGCGGAAAAATGAGGATGAAATAGCGGAAAAATAAGTTTGTAATCGTTGAGGAGTGAGGGTAAAATCGCAAAAAAGTGAGGCAAAAATCGCAAAAAAAAGTAAGGACAAATTCGCAAAAAAAGATAGTCAAAAATCGTAAAAAAAAGAGCCAAAAATCGCAAAAAAGTGAAAACAAAATTGCAAAAAGTGGGTCAAAAATCGCAAAATAAATGAGTTAAAAATTTCAAAAAAAGTGAGTGTGAATTTGTGAAAAAGTGAGATAAAAATTGCGGAAAAATGAGGTAATATGTGCGGAAAAGTGGGTTTACAAT